TACGTACATATACACGCACACATTCATTCGTTTATTTATATACACGCGTACACACGATACAAAGCTGTTAAAGTTATCGACCTTCCCGTCTCAGTCAGGCGACTATGTCTTCTCTCGTACACAACTACATAAATAATTTATAGTACAGATATTGTAGAGAAAAAGTGGAGGAAAGATTCACCTTGCCATTTACAACGAGTATCAAAGATTCTTGATTTTCTCTTTTTTTTTCGCAATTGAACACTATGCGGATGAAGCGATGACGATAAATAAGAATATTTAATGACGACAACGCGACACGTCTGGGTGTTTTTTTTTTTTTCAACAATGGATTAGAAAAAATCGTCCGAGGGCGTACCACACATACGGTCAAAGGCTAGTTATTGGAACATCTCGGTCTTCTCGATGATTATCTAACCTGGTCATTGATATGTGGTCCGCAGCGTATCCCTAGCAATCAACAGTTCTCCTGAAAATTTTCATTGTTGTGTAATGTCGCATGTGTGATACACAATTTATTTTAGCTTCGACTTTTCTCGAAAAGAGCGAATGATTAAATGATAACGAACCTCGAGTTAAATAACATGTCAGCGCGATTATTGATAAACCACACTAACACAAACGAAAAAACAGCGACCAAACTGCCGAGAATCAAGCTAAAGCGTTCCGTCGCTGCTGCTGGTTTGAGAAACATTCTGACACTTAAAGTCTGCCATATAGATTCAGTCCAAGTTGAATAGTCACCCGACTTCATGTCATATCCTGTAACAGAGAGTCGATTAGAGCTGATTATGTCGAGTCTATTGTAAACAATGCAGCGACTTACCCTCGATAAAAAATGCAGGGCTCACAGCTGTACTATAATTGACGGTTGAATTGATACACAAGCCTGAGAAATTGTATCCGCCCATCCAGGCAAGTCGATTGTCATGACACGTCGTCTCGTTCATTTCAAGAAGTTTTTCACCGGTCAAAAAGGCTAAAAGCTGGCCCGTTAAAGTCGTCGCGGCACTGGGCGCTCTGTGTACACCGACATACAGCGGTAAAACTTGACTAACTACTTTAGTACCAGGCGCCGAAGACGCGCGAAACAGATCGCACTTGGCATTCTCCAAATAGCAATGTAACATCTCCGTAATAAGCTCCTCCATGGATATCGACAGATTGGCAGGCTGCGGTGTCTCACCCGTCACCGCCCAGTAAAGCTCATTAGCAACCTGAAGAGCAATTGACGCTAAATCTGATGCAAGCGTGCTAGTATCGTTTCTAAAACATGATACACCAAAGAATCTCAATAATACAAATTGAAATAATGTCAAAACATGAATATTATACACGTTAAGATCAAGAGAATTGTGTACCTATTAAAGCCAAGACTTTCCGCGTCGTCCAAGATGCCGTTATAATATCGGTTCTTGAACTGCGTCTCGTGGTTGCTTATGACGACAGTCGTTAGATTCGGTTTCGCCTTCAGGAAACTCTGGACAGACGTAGGTGGAACGCTACCGTTTACAAGCGACGCATTTAGCGCGGCCTGTAAACGGCTTATCATATCGTCCTGGCCGTTACTATGGAGAAATATCTTCCCCTTGCCCAACTGACCAAACTCGATCACACTCTTGATATCGTCAAATTTTAAACTAACTCCGCCGAGAGCATTGAAGTTATTTTGCTTCATATCGTATACCATGCGACTGGATCCTATATAATCAAACGCCTCCCCATTCAACAACGAAAACACGACATTCGTGCCTAAAAGATATAATAACAATATGAATATGTATACATATATATCGCATATAACTTGCAAATGAACATGCCTTGTAACAAGTCAGAAAAAATTAGCACTTACTATCAACGGTGGCGTTTAGGAGATTCAGATAATATGCAGTGGCAAGTAGCGTAACTAGCCCTGTTATGGTGTTACCCGCGCCAGGTGACACACCATCGAACAACGATGCTGCATCCAATCGTGCTGTCACCATGATCACTGTATTATTACCTTCCTCGAGAGGCGCCAAAGGCCAATGTATGTTCCTATCTCCGAGCGGATCGCAAAACTGTGTCGGATTAAAATTCAACTTGAAATCCGTACGCTTTATACAGGAATCAGAATTAACGGCAGCATACATGAACGATTTCATTTCTAGCGCGCAGAGAGATCTCTGATGTTGTGTCTCCAGGTCATGAGCATTGTGTGTCCAGAAACAAGATTTTATAGCCTCCAAAATTGTCTGATTCTGAAAGCATGACATTCTTAACATTTATAATTTGTCATTTTCCAAGAGTTTCTACAGTTTTACAAAAATCTTTTCTCAATAAGATATATTCTAGAGGATTTTTAAGTTGATACCATTAAAAAATCTAAAAAAAAGTCTAAAAATATCTAACATGTGTTAAAACCATGTGTCTAACCTCTGTATAAAACATAGGAAACGGCCAGTCTTCCATGAGCAAAGCAGATCCAAAAGGATTCCATGGCTTTGAATCGTTGCACTTCTTGTAACCAGAATATCGATTTGGACATGTGTCTTCAGGTGAATACTTAAATGGACGCTCATGGCTAATATTTTTGTCAGCAAAACTCCATTTATATTATTTGTATTCTTGAGTCTTATAAGCGTTGTTTTATTGAACCATACAAACGGAAGGACTACTGTATACGGGCCAGCAGTAGCATTCTGTTCTATCCAAGTGATATCACTTTCTATCTCAATCAAATGAACTACGCCTACGCTACCTGATCTGCTAGCTATAAATAACAGACCATAATGAATGTCAAAGGAGTACTAGAGGACTATGCAATTAATGGAACTTGATGAAATAATAAATATTGATGTTTACAGGAACATCCAAATTGATGTGTGCCATTGTGTCTTCGGAAACATGCAGCTACACCTTCCAGTGGCATATATATCATATCCTTTATTCTTTCGGAGGCCACTAAAAATTAGTTTCACAATGATTATGATTATGCTAAAAGTGAATTATATATATAAAGTCTAAACTCATAATTACCTAAATCTATGATGATGATCATCAACACGTATTTCCACATTTTCATCGCCATACTCCTGCCGTTATCGTTTACACTCGAGATTCGTACAAGATTACAATTTGGGACATTACCTGGTGTTGTTACAACACATCCCGAATGTGAGGTTTGAAAAGAGTTAATAATGATACTTCGTATGAGTCATGTTAGTGTTTCATTCTCTTTGGTTAAGGTTGATACACGGTTCAAATCATTCACTGGAATTCTTATTTTTCGCGTTCGCACTCGAATCGAGTGAAAAAAATCGATTTATCCGAGTTGCGAAAAAAACTTCGAATAACTCAAGCACCAAAGAATTATATCAAATATTATACAAAAGGTTTTTGTCAAGCAATTCTGCACTTCCGGAAGCTTTCCGGAAAGAAGAAGCACAGCAAGACACTTTGTCACATGATTGGCTGTTCAATAATGCATTTTTTTTAAAGTTTCCCTAAAGTTTCCCTAATTGATGAACCAATCCTGTGACAGTATGTCTATTTTCTAACGAAAAACTGCCTTTGTATAGCTCACTTAAAGCTGCGTACACATTGGAAAAATCTTAATCCATCAATGTAAACTAATTTTGATCTTGATTAAATTCATTTTTTTATCTTTATATAATTCTATAAATTAGAAGATAAAGGGTGATAAGGATGGAAGGAAATAAAGGGGAAGATAAATTGAATTGAGATTAAAATTTATGTTAAAATGGGAATAGATTAGATAGAACAAATTTTGAATTTATCATACGACACATGAAGTTTATCGTATTGCTTGTGCACTTTTAATATTTTCCACATCTAGAACGAGATAAATATATATGCGAGCATTGAAAAAAGAAAGAATGAGAAACGCGAGGAAGTGTAGGAAGTGCAAGCAACACAAATAACAGGTTTGTTCTTTTTAGTATTTAGCTATATTTTTAATTTAGAATCTTTATCTTTCCTCTTTTTTCTTTAGATTGAAGAGAAAAGGAGAAAAGATAAAGAAGTTCATCTTAAAAAGAACGGACCTAATATTAACAATATTAAGGTTGGAAGTCCTGAAAAGGACATATTCGATTTGAAACGATCTGTCAGCATTTAAAAGTTCGATAATCTCAGTCGTGCGAATTTCTGAGGATTTCAATTTATATTTCTAACGCGAGTGTGGTGTTCGCGAAGAGATATTTTATCGACAGCAATATCAAAGTCGGATCGGCTGAAGTCTCGTGGTGGAAATCGGTGATCGAATAATATTCAGGAAAAATTTAAGTTTCGTCGAGTTATTGAGCGAACGTTTCTTTCCGATCGCGTCGATTTATCTCACGATGGAGCAAGTAAAACGAAGTGTGCCGAACGAAGTGCAAAAGTGTGAGAGCCCGTTAACGCGCACGAATCCCTGGATTCGTGGAACTCCGATGAAGCAGAATGATGTCTGCTTAAAACGCCCGACATTTCAGAACACCGTGTGCATGCCGTTTTCCGCCCTACCGAGTCACATCACTCCGCCGTCCAAGTTAAGAAGGTTCATTACCAAAAATCCGTTCGAGCCTGATCTGATTAACAGATTACACCTGTCCACGATCAGTCCGACCGTGTTCAGCAAGGTCACTTTGCATGCAGACGCTCTGTAAAGATTGCTTTAATTTTACATTTTGTTGGCAGTGAACATCAATTGCTAAAAAATCATGATGTTTAGGTTCCCAGCCCTATGCGACAGTCGACAGAATTTACATGGAGCATAGATGAGTTAGCTATTATGCAACCAGTAAGGATTGAGGAGTCTCCAATGCAACAGGTGCATTCTCCAGATCCAGAATTGGAGGTGAAGGCACAGGCAGCTATAGATAGGTTCTTTAAGCAGAATCAAATCATTCCTAGTCCCTGGGATACCAGGCAGAAAGGAAACAAACCATTTACATGTATGAACACTCCAAAATCTTCAAACGATAGGAGTTCGCCCGATGAACTTTCCAAGACGACAAAAGACGGTGAGTACTGATGAGACTAAAATTTAGAAATAGATTAAATTTATTGTTATCGAATTTTCAGCCTGGAGTCAAACGGTATTATCTCTCCCTCTGGATTTGCCACAGAATGTGGAAGAAGTTTTGAAGCCATTCCTTACTTTTACTCAGGTTGGTCTAAAATAAGTAATCTGGATGAAAACAGTTTAATATTGATTATCTGAAACTTTTCGGATAAATATTCTTATGTTTTTGAAAGGAACAAAATACAGATGACGACGATGTAAATCTGAGCAACAATTCATTGAGAAGAAAATTATTTTTTTGTCATGATGAATGTACTGACAATGAAAATGAAAGTTTCATATCGTTGTCACCAGTTAAAATGAATGAATCTATGGTGTTGTCTTGCAGCCCTCCTCAGAGTGGTATGTTTGTTCATGGCACACCATTAAAGGTATGTGGATAATAATAGTGCAAGATAGTTATAAAATGATTATATAAAAATAGTCTCAAAAAAACAGAATATAAAATTAATTAGTCTATATTTTGTATCAAAAATTAACATAATAGTTCCAGAGATTGTTACAAGCTAAGCGGCAAAGCAATGGATCATCTGTGATATCTGAAAATTTATCACCATCTAATATGTCTCCGATACACAATGAGAACGATAGGCTGTTTGAAAGAATTGAATTTTGTTCTCGTTCGGCTAGTCGACTAAGTTTCTCGATGGATATGAGCATAGATGGTATCGAAAGAAAAAATCAAAACTTCATTAATGGTTATCATTCGTTGGGTAAATTTGTTTTGTTATGTATTGGATAATTTTTCATCACACTCTTTCTCCTTTGCTCTTCATTCTTGTCTTTATTTACGTAATGTAATTTTTCCAAAAAAATAATTAGAATTATTTTCATTGTGTTTTGACAAAAAGATAATTCTCCTATTATCATGAAAAAAATTTGCAGTAATATTCATGTTCTTATTAAAATATGACGGTAATTTCTATCATAAACAAAATAGCTAAATTTACAATAATATTAAAATTATATTAAAAATATGTTTTAGATGCATCCGATAAGGAAAATGATGTAAAACATACTGAAGATAATGATAAATTGATAAATATGAATAATGATAAAGCAGATGCATGTGAGTCTGTTAATACGGAAGAATTACAAAAATGCATAAATTCAATTAGCAATATTGAATCTTCTAACGTTACCATATTTTATGATAAAGAACATAACAATGAAATAAATTTGAAAATCACAGAAATGACAAACTTTGTACACGAGAGACATAAACGAAGTAACATAATATCTGGCGCGTTTGATCAACAAAGTATCTCAAACTCAATTCAAGATACTGGTTATCAAACTTACAGTATGAATAGTAGTACAATGCATACAATAGATAATTACAATACTTCAAATCAGAAAACACATTTGAATGAAAAAATAATGACGCCCAAGGATAATACTCAGCTATCTTGGAGAGAGAACATAAGAAACGTATTTAGTTCCACACCTTCTAAACATGATAAAGAAAGTGGAAATTAAATATAGCTATTAAATTAAAAAAAAATACATGCTCAATTAGTTAAAATTACAATAATTAGCCTACAATGATCAACAAAATTATAACAAATATGCATGATTTTTTTTTATTATTAATTCATATTTGTCTTCTACTGTATAATCGACTGAATTAAATGATTTTTTTGGAGAGATCTCAATTTGATATATTGATGTTAGATCAATCTTCTTTACAAAGAAATCGGCTTTTAAAGAATTTAATCCAATTGATTTGGATCTGACTAGGTAATGATTTGATTATCACGAATTACTATAAATATATTACTTTAAATTTAAAGGAGTTACAAATATATCTATTGGCTGATATCTTTTCAACAATACTTTACACTTTTTCACATCCTTAATATTTATTGTATATCAATATGTATGTAAAAACATGATTTTTCTAAAGTTTTCCATTGAGGATTTAGAATCGGAAATATTGATCCAGAAATATTATTCCAAATAGATCCAATAGATTTTGCATTTTTAAATCCTTTTCTGATCATGTAATCAACAATGTGTCAGCGTATATCGCTGGATGTTATATGATTACAATATTATATATACATATATATAGTATAATGTACTGTTATATGAAATAAGAAATGCTGGATGAAATAACCAACAAGTTTTGCAATTTTCTTCATTTGTTTCATTAGATAAAATTTTCTGATGGTTACAGCCTAAAATATTAAATATACTCAAGATATATATATAAGCAAGATCAAAAACTTAACAAACATTTTACAGCATGATTCATCTAAAATGAGTAATAATAATAATAATAATATAATAATAATAATAATGATATATATAATTATAATATTACATATTACGCCAACAAAAAAATTCTTATAATATACAATCTGTAGATATATATATTATGTGTACATATAAATTAATATATCGCTGATCTTCCAAACCCAAAGGATTCTGCATTTGGCACGATGTCATGTAATGGAAGCAAACCAAACACATTATGTCTTTTGATTGTCCCTGGCTAGTTACAACGACACTTCGTAATCTGCTTTGCCCCATACTTTGTTGTGTTTTTGGTGTCTGTCATAGGATGACTTCGCTCGTCAGCCGGTTGTGGCGTTAGCACGCCCCATGCAAAACGATGAAATTACGAATATCGTGAGTTTTTTTTTCTTGCGTGACAAATCGACGCGTTATGTGTTAAAAATTAACGATGTTAATACTTGTTTCCTTCTACATAAATGTAATTACAGAATGAATAACAGTCTATCTCCATCGTCGTAATAACGCCGTGGATCAATGCATTGCACATAAGCCCATTCCTTCTGCGAAAACCGGCTGACTAGAGTATTTCGCCCGATGTCAGGATTTACTGGTGTATTGCTTTACATTATGTGACTAATCGATTTAATCTACGCTTTAATCTATCGATTAGCTACACGTATTACGATGACGAATGGCATCTCACACGCTCTTTCTCTATAGCCGATTAATTTAGAATTAACTATATGTGGAAGAACAGATCTTCAGTCGTAGCAAACGAGAGCTAGACTAAGATAATGTTAACAAATTGTGAAGCTATTACATTGAATTTTCATGCGATTATCAATTCGAAGATGCCAGCTTGTTTTAAGATCGGTATCAAGGTAGAGTATTCAAGGTGTGAGTAAGAATGCCAGTTAATTAATAATAATATTTATAAATATATATAAATATATATATATATATATGTATATCTCTTTCGCTAAGCAACATAATATATAGAATTCTAAAACTTCGGATATACTGAAGTATAACAATGATAATATTCATTTTTCTTGCGATATATCACAGCGATAATAACAATAAAATAAAATTTGAAAATAAAAAATAGATTGCCTAAATTTTTTGTAATTTTTTTTGTAAATTATACATATATTTTTAGCAGAATACTAATTATTTAATGTAGTATAACGTATGTTGAACGTTTAGAAGACGAGTAAAATTTTGAAATTAATTTTCCCGGTCATTTTCCATGTTGTTTTTAAACAATATTATTTCTTTTTATTAAATATAATATTCATTATATTGAGCATGGCATTCTTTCTTGCACCTTCAGACTGAATTCTTTTTCTGGTGTAGCTGATTAGCTATAATCACATTAAATGTTTGATGTAGCGCATCCTGTTTACAAATCGTATAATTTTTTAATTTTCTGCAGAAGATATTTTTTGTCCGAAAAAAGTTTTCAATTTTTCATTTACTGACTGGACCAATTGATAAAAACTAGAAAAATAAAAGTTAAAGGTTTTGCGAGATTAGCATCAATGAGACACTATTTTAGTATGTGCATGAATTTTAATATATGCAAGCGCACATAATTCTATTTATAAAATTAACATTCTATAACTTGACACGTTAACTCTTTAGAGAGACTAAAGGATAGTCGATGGATTCTGAAATGACAAATAGAATGGATTTACAAAATTGTCGAGGCGCGTTTCGCATCTCCATTAATGTTGATATGTAGAAAGATCTATCAGGTTGCGCTACAACAGTTATGTTTTCCTCTCACATTCGAATTACTAATATTCATACTTTGTAAAGTGATATTTAAGCTAATAAATTGCGTACCAGCGAATCATTAGGAAGAACCTTTATCACGCGGGCAGCGCCCTGTAAAAATATATGTTCTCTCTATATAGAACTACATATCAATGTATACAAGACCAGTTTGCCTAATATTTCTCTCCCTTCTTTTATGTTTTTGTGGTACACGTACATATCTTACAATTATTATGGTATTATCAAACTTTCTCTCTCTCTCTCTCTCTCTCTCTCTCTTTCGCTCTCTTTCCTTAGTGTTACGGATTTTTTTTTTTTATAAAAATAAGTTGTCTTTCCACATATCGCTATTTTTCATCTTCATCCGATCAATATTAACATTTCCATATGATTACTATATATTCAGTGTTCAACTGAATGTCAAAACTGGTCTGTGAATACATTAGAAGATCTACATATGTACAACACTGTTTGAAATTATTTTGAAAGCCACAAAGAGAGTAGAAAAAGATGTAAAATGATAACATTTCTTTGTTCCAAAACCATATTGAATGTATCTCGATGTCTTTTTTTATTTTTTCCATTTTTTCTTGTTTTGATAATACGTTTGTGGCACATATATTATACATGTGCAACATGCACATGGTATATGTATATGTATATGTGTTTTTACATGTGAGGTGCTCTCAATTTCGCGTGCAAAAGCACTGTAATGGAAAGTTTGTGAAAAACTAAATCGCGAAGATACTTTTTCGCGAGCTGATCCCTCAAGCACAATTGGAAATCTAAACTCAGGTAAAATCTACGACAGATAATCAATTAAATAGTATACGTTTATAAATAGCGCTTACACTTTTGCTTTTCGTCCGACATGTAAAGTTGGCGCCAGACTATGCGCGATTCCTATTATTTGTAGTTCGAAATTTGTAGCTTACTATTTATGGAATTGCTGGAAATAAAAAAAATATAAGTAAGTAAGAACGTGAATTTCTATGACTCAGTTTTTCATAAACTTTTTCGCTATTTCTATTCGCAAATTTGGGAACACCTTGTACATATATACGATTAAACTTCTCTTGTTTTTTTTTTCAATCGGTCGAACATGACATTGCCACTCTTCCACTATTTCACATTCGTCGTCTCGTCACATACATACAACAAAAGTGACTAATGAGGTATGGACACGTACGGACACGATGCGTGCGCGATGATGACATTTTCATTCTGTGTATGGTTATCCGAATACGAAAGAGTAGCCGAGAGCAGAATGGACGTTTCATCTCGAGTCGAGGAGTCCGATCATATATATACATGAATGAATATGTCGGCCTTTGATGCGCGTGCAATGTGTACATCTGCATATACATGCACGTATACATTTTATATACATATATACACATATACAGAAACATGTATGCGTGTAATTGTTTTTTTAAATATATTATTTCGATCTCTCTCTCTTCTCTCTCTCTCTCTCTCTTTCTCTCTCTCTCTCTATCGGATACGTGGCCTGTTTCAAAAATAATGAGACTAGCTGCCACGAAATGAAATATGGTAACACTGGGCTCTTCAAACTGTGCCGTGATTTCGATGTCGAAAATTCGCCGCGTTACGTTTGAAAACGGCAGGTCTCATTATTGTTGCGACAGGCGTTATGATAGCAGATGTTGATTATGCCTCTATACATATCTACAAAAAAGAAAAAAAAAAAAGAAGACTGATATAGACCTCTATCATTAATTAAACTCTTCTATGACTTAATATAATTGTTTCACAACAGTTCTAAAATGATTATCATTACTTACTTCAGTATGTAATAATAATATTTCTTATATTGATATATTTATATATATATATATATTCCACGAACTATTCAATTGTAATCATGTTTCAACAGCATGTTAAAAAGTATCTCTTTAACACTACATCTCTATTATTGCTTGTTGTTTAGTGCTACCGAATGTATTTTGGCATATAGCATGTTGTGAACCCTGAGCAACCACACCAATCAATTCGAAATGCATTCAACAACCCTCTTTTCTAGCACTAACTAGAAGTTATGGAAGAATTTACATGCGCGTTTGTGTGTTGTGTGTGTGTGTGTGTATGTGTGTGTCCATGACGAGAGACTGGTTCGATCAAGAAATTTTCGTCAAGGTCGAATTTAAACGCGTTTAGAAATGAGCAAGGAATTTCCTGACAATATGAAACAAAAATATTTTCTCATACTCTTACTGGATGGTAAAGTTTCTCAAATGTTTCCAACTTGCACGCAAGCGGGAAAGCTCTCGATAATGTACACTCTTCGACATGTAACGAAAATTATTTAATGTTAACCTCTAATTTGTTTTAGGTATCGATTTCCTTCCTCCCAATCCCGCCATCTCTTACGCTTTTTTTCAGATGTGCTCGAGTAATCACCTGTGGTAGAGCGCTTTTTTGATTTCGCAATACCTTCTGATTTCGGTGCCGTGTTAATACCCTGCGTTACGTGATGTGTTCTATTGTGGTTTAACGCTGTACTAACTCCGGCCAAATTTAGAAGCGCATCAGCACCTTCCGCAATCTTTCTTTGTTCATCAAAATCCGGATTTAATTCCTCCTCATTCGAATGTTTGCTGTGAAGAAAAAGAAAAAATTTATTTTTTCAGGTATTGTGTAATCTGTGTTGATCGTGTACAGCATTAATCTTTACCTTTCCAATTTTATCGAAGCGATACAGCTATAAGTATGGTCCTCGCTGGAACTCCTGGTAATTACAGGCACCAATTTTTCCGATTCCGGTAATTTTCGCTTACGATCTATATGGAAACATTATAGCATATAAGTTATCTCAAATATCATAATTAAGTAACTTTGCTCTTTTTCCATCAAAACACAGATAAGAATATTGTTCCTCTTATTATTAAATACCTTTGTTATGATTCAAAATGATAGGTCCATGCTTGAAAGAAAGCATGGCGGCAGCTGCCGCATCAACGTCGCTATCTATCTCGGCTTCCGCGCTATCATTAATATTGCTAGACGCCAGTCTTTTGGATAAGTATGGAAAGAGAACCGGATCCGGGAGACGTGTGTTCATGCATTTCCTGGACATCTTTTCCGACGAAGATAGATTTTGAGATGTGGGAGGAGGAAAAGGCGCGCGAGATAACGCTTGGATCAGATTCGGGCGATACTGTGCATCCACCATCCACAATGATCCCTTGCCTAAATTCTAAAAAGAAAATAATAAGTTATAAGCATGAATACGGAAACAGCGATTTTCGATATTTCTTCGAAAAGAAATCTGCTTACCGGAGCTTTCTCTACTTTTCGAAAGCACTTGTTGAGGCTCAAATTATGTCTGACGGAATTTTTCCATCCAGTAGGGGCATTTCTGAAATACGGAAAATGTTCCAGGATCCACGCGTAAACTTCTTTCACGGGTAGCGCCTTAACAGGACTATCTTCGATAGCCATAAATATGAGGCAGGAGAATGAATATGGTGGTTTGCTATTTCTGTGTAAATGAGGATCATATGGTATATGGGTAGGATGCTTGTTGCGATTAGACATTGGCAAATTATTGTTGCTCAAAGAAATCTTCGTTTGATTACTTGGCGAAATATTGCAATGACTTTTCACAGAGTCCTGAAATATTTGCGTAGACTTTTGACAATTCTTGACGGGGTGTTGACAGTTTTGTCCATTTCCGTTCAGCGTCACGTTTGTCTTCCCATTGTTCTCTGTCAATAGTAGATAAAACAAATAGAATAAGATTAATGCAAACTCCGAGACTTGTTACTCGAATATCACAGTACTTAATTAAAAAAATATGTTATTTTACCTGGACAGAAACTATCATCCAAGCTTGATATAGAATTCGTATTTTCAGAAAAGTCTGCCATATCATCGCAGATATTGTTGTTTAGCATATTCTCGTGTTTCATATCTTTGGAAGGATTTGAAATCTCCAAACCCTTAAGTAAATTCTGCTGATGCAACCAACTGAGAGATGTTAACTCGTCGTCCGACTGATTGTTCTTTTCCATGGACTTTTCCCATCTGGGAATGTCGCTCTGACATTCGTTGGTCGAGTTTGTGTCAGTCAGCACGCTGGCGTTCTCCTTCTCCTTGTCGTTCATCGTATAGGCGTTTTCACCAAAATTATAATCCTGAGATGAATTCAGTTCTATATCAGTTTCGATACCCGATGCATCCGGCCTATCTGGTGGCATGTTGCATAGAGTTTTCTGGTCACTGCAAATAAAAAATTACTTTTTACTTTTCTAATCATGTGCAAAAATAAGTGTATAACTTAAGGTGCATAATTTAGAATTTATTATTGTTTTTGAAACGATGCAATCAAAAATTTCTTATTAGGGGGGAATAAATTTGTAAAATCCTTTTCTTATATATACATTAATTTACGGTAGTTCATCTTTCCCGCTTTTCTTATAATATTGATATTCATTTCATCAATGTAGATTAATTTCAATTTCAATTTAACTTCCTTTTCACTTTTGTTTTTTTCCTAAGAATTAAAAAAGATAAAGCATAAATTAAATCGAAGTAAAAACCGATCTACATTGATAGAAATGTAGACATAAGAGAAACCTAAACCTTGACTCGAGAAAAATCTATTAATATACCGACGGGCGACGTTAAAAATCTCGCGTTTTCGAACGAGATATCTGTTTACATTTATAAAACTTTATCAAGGGAAGATTTGCGGAGCGGGATGCGTAAGAATCGCCAGTATATCGTGTTACGGCATAAAAATCTCCGCGAAAATAGTAAGAAATAGGCCCGGTCGCTTTTCTATTTTTGGTATGCCGCGCAACGGAGACGCGTGCGAGAGTAGAAACAGAAAGAGAGAGAGGGAAAGAGGTAGGACGGAAGCATCGCGAAATTGAAATCTCCGCGTTTCGCTCGCTCGCTCGCTCGCTCGCTCGAGCCATGAAGCCAGCAGCGTGCGACGTCGCGCACGGGATTGTTTATTCGCGACTAATAAGCGACAAAATGGCCGGCGCTATCACGCGGAATCGCGCATTGGAATTTCAAATGCGATTCGCTCCGTGGAAACAAACATGATCCTTGGCGACGTGACGCGACGCGACGCGATGCGGCGCGTCGCGACGTTGCGTTGCATCGCGTCGCGTCGTCATTATCGTCGCCGACGCGAAACGCTCGCGTCCAACATTCCGAATGTTTTCCTCCCCTCCAACCCCTGTGGAATTTGCAACTAATGGCGTCCACCCGCGTTGCACACGTCCGGCAACGTGTTCTCCGTGCGCTCGCACGTTCCCGAGATCGGCGAGATCGGCCGCGTAAACATACACGTCGATGATGAATCACCGAGATTCGGCGACGAACGTCGCGGTTGCTACGCGAATCTGACGCTGGAGATGCCAAAATTGCGACCGCGTGATCGCGGCCTGACGATCTTTACGAGCACGTGAAAACGATTTCTATTCCTGTCCTCGTCTTCGTCCTCGATCGCGGAACCGATCACGGGAGACAATTTCGCTCCTCGCGGAAGGAGAGCGCGGAGAGAACGAGGCCAGGGCACCCTGGCCGGAGTCCGCACCGATCGCGGAACCGATCGGGCACGGCACGTCGGAGTCGTGCCTCTCGGGACCGCGGCGGGATCGGGGCGGCGTGGCGACCTGCATTACTTGTTGAATTCAAATATGGAGCTGATAACGATTACGAAACGCGAGAGAGCAAACGCGAAAATGGCTACGGCATCGTTCGCCGTATGCACGCGGGCACGCATGCACGCACGCACGCATACGTACACACGAGATACGTGTACACACTCGCGCACGCGGCGCGGAGACTTCGGCGGTGCACTCCCGAGAATTACATAAGATAAACGATCGTCGCGCGAGTCGGCGAGAAACAGGGGCTCGAGGCGGAACACGCGACGAAATGCGAATTTCCCGTCTTGCTCTTATTATTTCTTCTCTCCTTTCCCTTTTTTTTTCTCTTAACATTAACTCTCTACTTTCTCACTCGCGGTCGGACGAGCCGCGGGCCGCGGTCGAGCCATCGACGGGGACCATCGTCGGGACGCTCGGCACGGAGCGGTCGATTCCGCGCGCGGACGTATCGTCCGGACGGAGATGTTTTTTTCCCGTCCCGGAGAGATGTTCGAACGCGGGTGCGCGATACGCGGGTCTCACGTGCGTCTCGCTCCCGCCGTACCCCGAGTCGCGGAGGCGCCGCGACAACACGTCTGCGTCTCCGCGTCTCGCACTCGCGACTCGCGGCCGTGACTTTCGCGTCGTCCGCGGCTCTCCCGCTCGCGGGCAGCCGCCGATCGACGAACAGCACCGGGATGCGCGATCGATGATCGCGGATGGATAACTCACGTATCACGGCGGACAGACGGCGGTCTCCTTTAGTTCTCGTGAGACGGGCATCGCAGGCAGGCACACTCTACACAACATCCAGCTGATCGAGACGCCATATCTTGACGTCATCATGTGCTCCCGTCGGGGCACCACGCGTATTTATCGCGATTTGATATTTCGCTTTTCGATTATCGATCCGCCTCGCGATTCGAATCCGCGAAAATTTGTATCCCCCGAACGTTCACTTTACTGTCCTTGGGAAAGGATAAACGCATCGTTTCCTGTCAAGGATTCGAAGCAGTTGAAAGAAATATCCAACAGCAATTTTTGAATATTTAAAAAAGAAATTATTTGTACTTTTTTTCAATTTCCTGCATTTTCTCCCCCTTTTTACGGTTGTCTTATTAATAAGATGTCGTGTCGCTTAAATGTAAAACCAAGAAATTTATATATGTAAAAAAAAACAAGTACAAAATTTCAAACATATTTTAAAATTCTTTCCTAGGAAAATTAGTAGAGTGATACGTTTGATTTTTATTTTGCATTTCTTTTTTTTCTTTTTTTTCTTTGTTCAAACAGAACGTGTAAAAGATTTAATTATTGCTATTTTTCGATGTGGTTCCTTTATTTACTTCATATTTTGAAGATAATTGCCGACACGAATTTTGTCGCTTTTTAATTTCAAATAAAATTTTACAAAACGTTCTGATTATAATTTTTTGTTGTTGATAGAGATATAAGAAATATTTGCTAAATCTAGAAATCAATGAAAAATATCAAATGCATAATGAAAAGGAACATGTGTTCGATACTATTTTATATAGTCTTTTTTTCCGTCTATAATCTTCATTTTTTATATTTTGTCGTTTAAAAAATTATTTAATTAAAAACTTATACACTATAAATTTTTATTTATAATTTTTTTATATTAGTTACTTTATCTCTCAGCTCACTGAAGTGATTATGAACTATTTTTGGTGACACATGTGCAATTATCTATAAAAGAATAGGCATCTCTAAATAAAGACACATGTATTAAAATAAAGCAACGACCTATTTTGAGAATTCAATTTTATTTTTAAGCTGCTTATTATAACGTACAGAACAAAATAAAAGTAACAATTCCCATTTCCGTGAACGCTGCTGTCGCAGTACTAAGAGTACGCGTCTTCAAATGCTTTGCCGATATTAACAGTTGTCACAGCCATAGTTTTACATTTCTTGTAAATAATGTGTTCTTTCTATACTATTAGCCACTTTTATCAGATTATATACATATGTACAAACGCCAACGTATGTATACGTCTTTCTTCGTACATTAATTATTGTTAACATAATCTTTAACTGCTTTTTCAATAATCGATCATTAAGCGTAATCTCTTAATTTACATTCCTTAGAAATATAAAATCGTATATTAAAGATAACATATATCTTTCATACACATACTTGAGGAAGTTACTTTCAAATAGCGATAACCATAATTATGGCACAATCATACATTTATATGTTCGTACAAGATATTAACAAAATTATTTCAAATACCATATTAAACAAAATACAGCTTTCAGACAAACTTTCAATACATCTCAATATTTTTAAAAATTCTAATATTGCTAAATTCAAATCACAAAAATGTTTTTTTTTATTTTTAATACTAGATATGTAAAAATAAAATATTATCACTTATATCAAATGAAAATTAAAATTATTAAAAATAAATGTTTATTGTATTTAGAATGTTTCGTTATAAAACTTCCTTACATGTCGCATAGTAAAATGATTTGCATCGTTATATTAAAGATATTACAGAAAATAAGAAATACCAAGTTGACAATTTTATTTGGAATTTAAAAAAGTTAAAATTCTATTACATTAAAAAAGTCCTTTCAAAAAGCTACAACTACGCACAATTTGGCGATATAAATCTAATCTAAAATACTCTATATTCGCAATTAAATCAGTACAACTTTTGTGTTATCTTACAAAAGCAATTACATGAAATATGAAGTAATTTTTATTTTATTCCGAGTGAATATTTTCCCTCTTCGTCTGAGATCTCTATATTTTTGGATCCTATTTCTTTCGAAAGGCTACCTTCAAACAGTTTCAACGCAGGCATTGCATACTCGAACAGGATGCTCCCATCCTCGGTGAGGTACAGGTTTACGATGTTGCGAACACTCTTGACACACTCCGCGTCCGCAGGCTCTGCAGTGATGTAACGAAAGCGTGAAATCGGCAAATTTGCGTTCGCAGACACAGCAACTAACCACTTCCGAATCTGGTATCCAATAAGACGGTCGAACGGAATCTTTTATGAATGCTATAAATGAAAAACATTTAGGATTAATAATAATGATTTGAGAAATTAGCCGACTTCATAAAAAATGTCTATAAATGAGACATTTATACTTACACTTGGAATAATTCAAAACAATTCCCACTACATTGAGAGTAGACACTACTTGCTCCGTTACTTTCCGCACTCCGACGTCCTCGGTAGGTTCCTCGGTAGATTCATCATTGGAAGAATTTGTTTCCTTCTCGTAGCACGCATCGCAAACTCGAACGGGCGAATGCCAATTCCTGTTAGGCACGCATTTTGTTTTCGATGAGCACTCCGCGCAAAAGCCCTCTCCACAATCGCGGCAATGATGTTTGTCATCCATCGGTCCAAACAAGTGTTTGCACTGATGGCAATGTTTTATCTCGCTGTTCGGCCGCCAATAAGACGGTGCTACTTGATCCGCGGCCCAGGCTTTCAGCGCTTTTGTTGGTTGCAGGGAAACATTCGTGACGGCTTCCGTGATGTATGAAACGCTATCGACAACTCGTTGCGCTGTGTTCTGAGAGATTATAGAACGATTTGACTGAAAAAGAATACAAATGTTAATAGATCAGTTTTGTAAGGAAGAATCATATAAATAAACATAATAAAGAAGAATAAAAGAAAGCTTTGTATTCTCTCGATACTTACTATACCCCACACGTGCGTGATCTTTTTGCATATGGCGACATCCTCGGGATTGCCAAACCAGTATTGTCTGCTTTTATATATCTCACCACAGTGTGGACAATTTATAATATATCCCGACCAGATATTTTTAGCAAGAGTAAACCAGTTTTCATTATCCTTGTAATACTGTCTGGTCACCTCAACTTCGTTTCCGTCCTTATAACAGCTCTTACATACATATATCGAATTGTCATACTCACATTGGAATTCGCACCTGTAAACAAACATCATTATTAATACAGCAAGAAAAAGTTGTTGCACAATTAAGTTCTACATGTACAAAGGAGAGGCTGCTGAACTAACGTGTTATTACTACTATGTGGTTTTCCTTCAAGAAGATGCCTTATGCTATATTTGCAACTGTCACCACAGCTCCGGCATTTAACCGGGCAAGAGAAGTACTCTGGGAATAAGTGCTTGGAAAGTGCTTTGGTTTTCTTTTCGTTAAAAAAGTGATCGTTTAAATTCTTAAGTATCTTATACACTAAGTGCGGTTTTCTGGCTGAACGAATCATTGAGTTGTTCAACTCGTCCTGAATTGCAGATCGTAATTGTTTGTAATTCGGCGGATCAGTCACCCTGTGTAAACCGACGTATTTAATAGAACTGAAAGCATCAATGTCAAGATTCATCTGTCTAAATTTAGTTCTCAGGATATCCTCCGCACTTTCTGATTCATCTGTAAACAAATCGATCAATATATTGAATCATAAACAACGTAATATATTGTTAATCATGATAAATTTGTCAGATAGAAATTATTGTTATTCTGAGAGAATAGCAATACATACTATTAATCAAAGGTGTAGTGTATCTGGTTTCATGCAGCACTATGAGACTTGGTCCACGCATTCTCAATGATGTTTCCTCTTCTATCTCTTGGAAGGCAGTTTCAAAATGACGATTGTATTCTCGTGACGCAGTACCCAACAATATAAACAAGTCTCTATTCAGTCTCTCAGATTGAATTCCATAAATTATAACATCGGAGACTGCAAGTACTTTCAGCAGCAATTTCATATGTTTGTTCTCAGAATTTATAACACCTGTAAATGAACATTGTAAGTGAATAACAATATAACCTGTTAAAACCAATATATATGATTAACTTTACTCATGAATAATAACATTGTAAATACCTAGCAAACCTTCAGTATCCAAGCAAATAACATTATGATCTGGATCGAAGGCTGCCCAAACGCCTGGCGTACACCAATTGTAATTGTTCGATGATCGAAATATCTCCTCACCCTTGAAAAACACTTGATTCATAGCATGGCTCTTCCCACTGCATACATTACCTAATATCGATACGACTTTGATTTTAGTGTCGTTTTTCGTGCAATTTAACTTCTTCAGGAACTTCTCCACGTCGGACACCTGTAAATTCTCCTGTTCGTCGAACAGCAGGAAACTCTTGTTGCGAGTTGTATACTTTGTGCCACAAGTGTCGTCATTCTCGTTCGGCAAGCGATCCTGCGTCGCGAAAGGCGCTTGAAAGCCGAACTCGGACAGAGTATCGAAATCACTGTTCGTACTGGCCTCCAGGCTCTTCATGATCGCCGGATTTTCATTCGAGTCCATACTATGTATCGAATGCCAGGCTTTCCACATTCTACACAAGATGCACGAAGGAGGACAGTCTTAAAAAAAAAAAAAAAAAATAACAGGATTTGAATTCGGGCCCGTCGCGGAACGGCATCCTCGTCACGAGCGAACACGGCCAGTCGGCGGAAAGCACAACGACAAGATCAGGCAAGATCCGCGAACGGTCCGCGATCACGCGCAACTGCGTAAATGTGAGACGCGACGCGACGCGACGTGAAGCGACGCCAACGCGGGAACGGTATCCACCGTCCGCGTGCCGAACTCGACAGCGACTATTCGGCGGACGTTGAGCCCGTGCGGCCTTTGGCTTCTAGAATAACCTCTACTCGCGGAAGATCTCTCGCCAGCGAACTCGGCGGGTAGTACGCACCGTGACTCAGGAGAATCGACACGCGACAGTCACGTTGAATCGCATCGCCACTAACAGATTCGTGCGCCGGATCCGAATTCTGCAGTTTTGAATCATTCGACCGGATACGAGCGCATCGTACGACACGACCAATGTGCGCCGGATACGCTGACCAATGCCGACGGCCGACGGCCGACGGCCGACGGTCGACGGCCGATGGTCGATCCGGATCGATCTCTTGAGTCGAAAAACGCGCGATCGCGAGCGAACGTTCGCTCTCGTGAGTACATCGATCGGATGCACAGAGGGAAAAAAAAAAAACAAAAAAATCATGATCAAAATTAATGTTGCACGTTACAACGCATTAGTATCTAAAATAATAATAAATAATAAATATCTAACAATAAGACAAATTAAAATATACAAATATGCAAACAGTGAAAAATATATAAGTCGTGTAATGTATGAACGTATATATGTGAATCGTGTAATTCTTATAAGTATCACGATGAAAATAAATAAAAATAAAATATCACTAATAATAAGATAAAAATATATATCAAATGTGGTTACTAAAGTTAATTTAATTTTAATATAATTTTTAATTACTTATCTTTGTCACGCAACTGTTAATATGACTGAATTAATTTTATGAATTATTAATTTTAATCTAATTAAATATAGCCAACCTTAATAGAATATTAAAAATATTATATGTATAAATATATGTATATATGTTTAAATATATTTAAATTTTTGTAATATTTTGTAATTATTTTCTTAATTAATTAATCATATCGTTAATAAGAATAAATAATATCTAAAATAATAATATAAAAATTAATTATAATATTATATTTAAATAAATGTTAATATATTATTATATTGTACAATGTCAAAATGTGTAAGTTGAACATAAAATTAAAATTGAATCCAGAATCTTTCTCTAAATTATTATTTGTTCTTATTTTTCGCAGTTAATTTTATGAAGCATTTACAATTAAAAAATTTGACATTAATTACAAAAATTAATTATTTATAATTAACATAAAGGTATTAAATATATTTTTTTTATAAAAAAATGTTAAAAACTAATATATTTGATTTATACTTTGATTTACTTTAATTTATTTTAATTTAAATCTATTTATTTAATGTCATAAACAATATAAACATAAAAAATTCTGCTGTTTTTATTTCTACTGCTATTTTGATAATATTTGCTATTACTGCTATTATAGCTAATACAGTATTAATGCTTTTAAAGCAATTCTTTCTCTGACAAAATTACATTCAAACTATCGAATGTTTAAATAGTCATTTAAAAAAAAATAATTTAAAATTAACAAATAATTGTTTTAGGTTGTACATTCAGTTGTAACATGTAAATTAAGAATCAGCATGCACACTATTTTACTATTTCTTTAAAATTTTTATATTCAAGTAAGAAAATTCTTTTCAAAAATATCCAAATATCATTATCATGAATATATTGATATAATAAAAGAGAAAATTTTCTATTTTCTTTCAATATCTTTGAAATAATGATAGAAAATATATTGGCTAACATATACAAAATATATCGGGTAACATAATAATAACTCAAGATAATGATTAAGTTAATAATTAAGCAATACAAGAATTTTATTAAAAAAATATTTAAAAATTTTAGAAAACTTTTTCTTTTTAACGATATTTATACTTATTTTTATCTACTATCTAATGAAAAAGTTATGAATAATTTTAGATTTTAGATTATTTTAGATTATTCTAGATCGCATTTAAGAATAATACAAAAAATTTTGCAGTGGTTTAGAAACTGAATAAAAAAATTATTTAAATATACAATAGAAATGTAATTAAAAAATAATTATTTTTATTTTTTTGTACAAGTATTTTAAATATTTAAGATAATTTCATGTAGAAATCAATTATCTATAAATAAAAATTAAATTTTTGTTAAAAGTACAAACAAAATGAGAAATGATACAAATAAAATTAAATTTTTATTTATAGAACAACTAATTTATGCATTACAATGAAATTTTACATGAATAATTTGGAATAAGTTAAAGTATTTATATAAAAAGTTAAAACTTTGGTCATTATGTTTTAATTACATTTCCATTAGAATACACTTCTACTTATTTATTTAAATAATTTTAATTCCAAGTTCTAAATCGCCAATAAACTTTTATTTTTACATGCGATTTAAAAATAATCTGTAAGTTTTTTTATAATCTTTTTATTGTAAATATAAAAATGATAAAAGTAAGTGTAATACACACTTAAACAAGTTGTATTCCAAATATCGACATTCTAAAATATTAGAAGTTTTTCGTAAAAGAAATATAAGTACAAGATTTGATAAAAATATTTTCGACTTACCGTAGACTCCTAGAGCTATCTTTGTTAACATCAGCTTGTTCTTGGACATATTGTCTTCTTCTATTGCAATAGATAGAGCTGGCTCCAAAAAGAAAGTTTTCCAAAAATAAGGAAGTAGTCACGGATTCTTCTTTCTTCGTAACCGGCACCGAATTCACTTCTAACTTCGACTAGTTGACGATAGCAACTGAGTTCATGAATTCGAGATTTGAGATTTAAGACTTGAGATTTTCGAATGATAGAGTGGTGGGGAGAAAAGGGCCTATCTACGTTGCTATTGGATCTGTGCACATGTGACGTAGATGTGCGCACCGAGAACTCTGGGGATTGGCTGCGTACGTGCATATTTATATCCAATAGCAATATAAGTAAATGGGCCCTTTTCCTTCATCCCTCTACTATGCGTAATGGATGTAATCTTAAACGCTTAATTCTTTTGTTTATTCTTTCCGATAAAAATTTTATTCGAAATATATCTTATAATATACTAAATTCGAGTAATTAAATTAAGTATAATTTTTCTAGGAAAGGATATTTTAGAATGTAACATTAGTTACATTGTAATCGAGTAATCAAAAGTTCACCCCTCTGATCATAGGAGTCATAGGCTGGTTTTAACATAAAACTAGAAGCACAGTTTATTTAAGAGCGTATTTTATGCATTTTTTTCTGTTCAAGTATATTTAGGCTTGAATAAAAAAAGAAAATTAAAATTTTTCCTATTTTTTTTTAGCAAGTAATACAATTACGCAGTTTAATATATGTTAAAATTTTACAATAAAATTTAATTTTTTTAGGAACGCTTTTTCAAAATTTTTTTCATTAATTTTAATAAATTCGTAATTAATTTATGTGTAGATAGAACTTTTTGATTTTCTTTAATTCTTTATAAAAAATACATGTTAAACAATTCAAAAAACATTAATATTGAAAAATGAGAACCTTAAAGATAATAATTGTTAGACTAAAATATTATTAAAGGTAATAATTGTTAAAAAAAAATTTTTTTTCTGAACATTGATTATGTATTATTACAAAAATTGACAATTTTAAGGAGGTCGTATGGCTCTTAAAATTTAAATAGTTTTGTCTTTTCGTCGGCGTTCTGATCAATAAAAATTATAAAAAGAAAAATAAATAATTGAAAATGATGGAAAATTTAAAAACCTCTTGCTTTAAAAAATTAAAATTTTTTGAAAAATTATAATAAATAATGTATTAAAAACATTAAAGTTCAACAAAAAAATATTCTTTATACGATCTTCTCAAAAACATAATTATATAAAACATCAAGAACAAAAAAAAATTTTGCAATACAAAATTTTTTATTAAATTTTTATAAAATTTTTTTATTTGTATAAAATATTTTTAATTATAATTTAAAGCTTGAATATAGAAAAGAATGCACACAATTTAATAAATAAAATAAAATAATAAAACTAATTAAAATAATAAAAAATAAAGTAATAAAAGTATAAAATAATATAAAATAATAAAAACCAAAAAATAAAATAAAATAATAAAAATCTTTGACAATGAAAAACAATTGTGAATAAATAGCAAATAAAATTAAATGCAATAAGAAATGTACAATTAAGTTAATTTGTACTTTTTTACTTTTATGATATTCTCTATACATTTTCAAATTTGTATATTTATTGATATTATACATTTTTTATACATATAAAAATATATACATATCTATAATACTTTTTATAAATAATTTTATTATTTGTATAAATTAATAAATATTAGATAATATATATTAAAACATACAAGTATATAATAGTATTTATGTACATTACAAAATAATAATACTATAAAAAGAGTTTCATATTAGATTTTACAATTTTACTTAGAATACAGCGTAAATGAAATTTTAGCAAAAAATGTAATATAAAAAAATATAATAAAAATAATTATTATTAACATAATTATAATTTACAAATAATAGAGCATTTATTTATAGCATATATTATTATTAAACGTGCTCCTAATAATTATAAATGCGCGTAACATTACATCATTTTTTCACGCGAACATTGGCAAGTTTTTATAAATTAATATTTTATTAATTATTACGAAAAAATAACAGTACGGAAGGAAACTCTTTTTAGTTTTTCCTAATTTTAATATACTGTGAAAATTTATTTATCGAGTGTTTTTATTATTATATTTTATTTATTAAATTATGTGCATTCTTTCTATATTCAAATTTTTAATTAAATTAATTATATTTTAATTATAATTAAAAATATTTCATACAAATAAAAAAATTTTTATAAAATTTTATAGAAACTTATTTTCACGGTATATTAAAATTGTCATTTTCTCGTAACAATTAATCAAAAAATAGATTTTCACGGTATATTAAGATTAGGAAAGTCACGGTACACTGGTTTTTCAAGTAGGGTACAATTTTCTCTTTTCATTACAATAGAATCTAGACTTTTTCAAAAGATTTTTTCTAGACCTTTTCGATACGCAATTGAATCCCCAGCCTAAATAAACATTTAGAGAAAACATAGCTAAATTAAATTGAAAAATGTTTCTCGCATACAATGACAAATATTGAATATGAAAAATTGAAAGATGTTTTTTATATAAGAAAGAATAAAATCTGGCATATTCTGGCATATTCTGGCATATTCTTGTTGAGAAAGTGAAATTTCTGTTCTTTGTGTAATTGGCAGTGATTGATGATTTTGTTGTTAGGTCGATTTGAATACAAATTCTTTCTTTTATCTATACTTCAAATACCTATTTTATCTATAACTTCTTATGAATTCATATTTTCTAGTTACATTTACTTTATAATATCCAATTGCATATCTAATATCTTTTTATTGGTAAAACTTATTGCATCTGAAGCATTCAATATTTGAAATTTAGAGATAAAAAAATCTATAAAAAAAAATCATTAAAAATCATAAAAAATCATTAAAAATCTATAAAAAAAATAAAATCCAGTACTAATAAAAACAGATAATAAATTAATGCAAAAATATATAACAAATAGATTTGTAAATCAATACAAGCAAATTAATTAAAAAATATTTTAGTAAAAATTTGATATCTAAAATAAAGCTTTTTATTTCTATAGAAATATTGCCAATATAATGTTAAAATTATAATTAATAAAAACAATTTTTATTAATTATAAAAACTGTTTTTCTTTTGTACAAATAAAAAATTATTTTTTTTAATTACGTGAACTTCATTTCCCTCGAAAATAATAAAATTTATGTTTCCTTTATATATATATTGTATTATAATATTAAATAATTCTTAGAATTTATAAAATGTGTAAATGTGAAAAATATCTTATTTTGTCTTTAAAATATACATTTTACACATTCTACATTTTTACATCAAGCTGCAAAAGAAGCTGCATCTTTTTGTATAGAAATATAGAAATATATTAACATATTGATAGTTACATAATCGTCGTTAACATCAATATCCAACTAACATTTCTTGCGTACAAATTTTACCCGTGTTATGTATATAAACCCTGTATGAGATTTACTTGAATTTTGTTCGTGGAACATCTCTATGTATGGTCAGACACGCAAGAATGAGAAGAATGTCGCATAAAGTTTGCTGACCATTTGCTGTTTTTGTCCGTTTTTCCAGTAAAATGTAATACAATGTAATACAATAAATTATTTTGTCTTTAACATTTATACATTAATAAATAACAAGGATAAAATGATTCACTGTGTTACACTGTATTGTGTATTTCTGCTGGAAAACACCCTTTATACACGGAACGGAATGAAATTTCGTTTGCGAATATGCGTAAAATGATGAATATTTGCGCACAAAGTTGTTTGGATGTTTTAAATTTACATCTAAAAAAAAATTATATGTATAGTGTGCGTGATGTGTATGTGTCCATACAGCACAAATCTCGCAGTTATATAATATATTGCAGTATATAATATTTTGTGTGTGTGTGTGGGGGGGAGGGGGGGAGGGATGCGCGCGCGTGCTATGTGTAAATATATGTAGCTCGTGAGAAACTAGAGTGTGTTAAATTATGAATAAAAAAGTTCCCTATCATTTTGCAATTTTCACAGTTATTAATGGAAAATTAATTATTAAAATTCTGTGAGTAACCTGCGAATTATGAGACACCCTTATAATCTAGATATCTGCATTTTCTGCAATCGACAATCGATAAAATGCAAATGATAGAACGGACACATAAAAAGTAGTGTTTACCGACAGTAAGCAGAAAAGTAGATACAGCACAGACATAAACCAAAAATGGTATATCAGCAGTGTAGCAAAGTAAATCTGGCGTACGTAGTTACAGCCACTTTTCAATTGGCGCTAGTGGCGCCGAAGGATTTGTTGGTTACAGGAAAAAGGCCGGGGCGACCGCTTTCTCTCTCTCTTACATTTCTCCCTGGTTTCAGAAAATCAGAGTGAGAAAAACGGTGCCCCGCGGAAGGTGCAGTTGTAAGGAGTAGGTGTCACTAATTTTATTATATACACATACATATATGGTGGACGCATCATTAGCGATAGAGCGAATTGCCTGGAGCGAAGTTGGAACGGTCGGCTGGCGGAGCAAGGTCAATTTCACTTCTCGAGTTTGCGCTCGTAATTCGTGGTGGTATTTGTGATCCCTACGTCCTCGGGTCTCCTCGTCTGCTGCGTTCCGGGCTCGGGGGGAGGGGGGTTTCGTTTCCACAGGGTACGAGAGCCGTTATGAGTCAGTAATATTACGGGCCAGCGGCATGCCGCCACCGTCATTGTCATCGTTAACGTCGTCGAGAGGTGGCCACCAGTCCCGGCGGAGTTCCAAGATATGCTTTCCGAGTTCGTGTCCGTGGCAGTGACACGCTCCGTCAGAATCGTCGCACTCGTCCGCGCCAAGTGATCGAACGATGGAGAGTCACGACGACCGGGCGGTCAGAGCGAACGGAAACGGTACGTCACCGCGAACGTGGTAGGCTCTTACTTTAGGTCTTTGTCGGTCTTCACAGTTGTCACAGCGATAGCTGAGAAAGATAAAGGGAAAAAGATACGATACAAATTTCAATGTTTTGTCAAACACTCTTTTTTCAATATTGCGTGTTTGTTAATGTCGAATGTGTGTTTAATTTTATTAAGAAGATATCTGTTACGATTCAGAGGATCCACAAGCGAGGATCAGCAGGCTGGAGTCGGAGAATGTTAAGATGCGAGAGGAGTTTAATGTGCAAAGGGCTAAGATGAAAGAATTATTTCTTCAGAAAGAAGGTATGCAAACTTGAGTTTATTCTGTAATAATCTGTAAAGACAGTATTATTATCGTCATATCTTTGCAGTTTTACACAGTTTTTTTTTTATCATATATTATATCAACATGGTAATGTAATATAAGGATGCTGATACTAAAAGTTGTAGAGCATAATAGTCTATTAAACTCTCAATAATAATGACATTGTTAAGAATTATAGAATAGGCTTCTATAAGAAATAGATCAATATCAATAATTATTATTGCAAATTGAAAATTAATTGTATTTTGCAGAAGAATTAAAACGAAGATTAGAAGAAAATATGGGTCTGCAGAAGGAAAATCTAAGATTAAAAAACGAACTGGATGAAGCAAAAAGTCAACTAGTTGTTGCAGATCTTAAAATACAAAATGATATAATGATAGAGAAACGAAAGGCTCAGGAAGAAATAGCATCTTTGCAGCAAGTTATACATGAAACAGTGGAAGAATCCTCTTGCTCGAGGAAACAGCTTGTCAATGAAGTATCCAAGTTGCAATCAGCTCTTTCTAAGCTTCAGGAAGAGAATGCGTTATTGAAAACACAATTACCACGAGATCCACCAGCAGATGGACCACAAATCTCATTGTCAACAGTAACTAAGACACTAGCTAGAAAAGTGGCTTCCCAATTAGGTGCAGATTCCTTATCTTTAGGTCCTGATAATTTAGAAGAAAGCATGCGGAAGGTAAAAAAATATGTACGTAAATCTAAAGTTGCATGAAAGTTGCATATTTAATCCTTTATGTATTGAAACTCATATATTTTTGTAATTTGTATAACAATTACAAAATGGACACAATATAATAATATAATAATATAATAAATATAATAATAGATAATAATTTTTATTTTTATAATTTTTATAATATTCTCGTGATACTAACACATTTAAATATAACTAATATTTTCCTTAACACATATTAATTCTTTTGAAACATAGCTTTTAAAATCAACACTTGTTCTAGTGATAATATTTGCTACAATATAAATAAAAACTATATCATTATTAGGCGCAGGAAGATGCGGAGGTTTTACGTTCATTGGTTGTGCCACTCGAGGAGGAGATAAAAGCTTTAAAAGAGAAACTGCGATCGACTGATGATGAATTACAAAAATGTAAAGAAGTTTTATTGAAGAGACGGCAGGAACCTGGTTCCTTCGAGCCATCCTGTGATATGTGTGCAAATTACGAAGCACAATTAGTTAAAGTAGAAGCGACTGCCAAGGATTTGGAGAAGCAGCTGTTGGACTCTCAACGTATGCTGCAAGCTCAAAAAGAAGATCTAGCTAAAGAAGTTGAATTCCGAAAGGAAATGGAGGGAAAATGGAATGAGAAGAAGGAGGAGCATAAAATCAAAGTTGCGGAACTGACTGTTACCTCGCAGACGGCGCAGCAAAATTTATTAGAAATAAAGAAAACTTTCGAACAAATTCAAAGAAGCGTATCAGAAGAGCTTTGTAAATTAACACGAGGCAGGGAAGAAGTTCAGAGACATCTTACTGCGTAAGATAATTCTTTTCTAAGAAATTCATTTGATAATATATATACATAATAATATATATATATATATATATATATATATATATATATATATATATAATATAATATATATA